TTCTCCTCATGTGTACAGTAAATAAATTTATAATCTCTTTCCCTTATTAAAAAAATAACAAAAATTAACTCAGAGAGTTTCTATGATAATAAAGTAATAAACAGTGCACAGCTCAGGGACAGGTAATATTCATACATCACTTTTCAATATTCTCATTAAAGATGATTTTGTTTATTCATATGCATGTATACAGAAATGTGTAAATATATCACACACATATTCACATACATGCACACACATACAAACATACCACACACATGGAGAAAGAGATAAGCTCCCAAATATTTATGGTCCACTTCATTATGAATATATCATCAAGGCCACTTTTTTATTACTGAATTATTTTATTACTGTATTACTTTTTAAAGAAAGGATTATATGAAACATTGAATAGAACTTAGTTGCAAAAAAGGTAAATATGATGAATTTATATAACAAGATTTTGTGTTAGTACCTACAAAAATACCCGATATACAATAAGTACTCAATAGAAAAGTATTGAATGAATGGATGAGAGCTTATGACTTACAGAGTCAGAACTCATTTTCTATTACTAGTTGTGTAACTATTAGTTCTGTAACATTTTAACATGATGAACACAATTGAAAGTCTAAACAAAGAGTTTTTGTAGATTATAATACTAGAATTTTTATTTTTTCACTCTGCACTTACTATTAATATTACTGTGAAAGTTAAAATTATGTGTCAACTTGACTGAGTCACAAGGTGCCCAAATATTTGGTCAAATATTGTTCTGGGTGTGTCTGTGAGGGTAATTTTGGATGAGATTAGTATGTGAATCCATAGATTGAGTAAAGAAGATTGCTCCCCCTAATGGTGGTGTGCTTCACCCAGTTAGCTGAAGTCCTAAATAGAACAAAAAGGCTGCCGGGCACCGTGGCTCACGCCTGTAATCCTAGAACTCTGGAAGGCCAAGGCGGGACGATTGCTCAAGGTCAGGAGTTTGAGACCAGCCTGAGCAAGAGCAAGACCCATCTCTACTAAAAAAAGAGAGAAATTAGCTGGACAACTAAAAACATATAGAAAAAATTAGCCGGGCACGGTGGCGCATGCCTCTTGTCAAAGCTACTAAGGAGGCTGAGGCAGTAGGATTGCTTGAGCCCAGGACTTTGACACTGCTGTGAGCTAGGCTGACACCAAGGCACTCTATCCCAGGCAACAGAGTGAGACTCTCCTCAAAAAAAAAAAAAAAAGTAACTAAAAGAAAAAGAAATTTTAAAGAAAAAAAGAATATAGAACAAAAAGGCTGACCTTTCCTCAAATAAAAGAGAACTCCTACTGCCTGACTGGCTTCAAGCTGGCACATCAGTCTTTTCCTGCCTTTGTACTCAAACTGAAACATCAGCTCTTCCTGGGTCTTGGGCCTGCTTGTCTTCAGACTGGAATGACATCATCAGCTCTTCTGAATCTCCAGCTTGCCAACTTCCAACTGCAGACTGCCAGCCTCCATAATCATCTGAACCAATTCCTTATAATCTCTCTCTCTCTCTCTTTCTCTATATATGTACACACACATACTGTTGGTTCTGTCTCTCTAGAGAAACCTGACTAGTATGAATACTGACCACAAAGACTTCAAAGAAGCCTTTTCCTTATAGTCTTATATTCATATTTTGTTAGAAATATGATCTGTTCTGAAGTTTTCTCATTCTGTCTGTATTTACTTTTATATTCCTCATTAAAGCAAAACAGAATGGTGTGCTTTTGTTTACAAATATACATATTTCTTTCACGGAAATCTTAGCTCCTAATCCATGCTTGTTTATTGATTTCTGTTAGAAAAGTAGATTTTTAAAAATCTTATATTTCCCTTACTCGTAGTACGTATATCATAGTTAACGATTTCCCTAGAAGTTAATGATGAAGGATAAAATGTCTGAGAAGCACCATTATCACTCCTTAGTATACATATAAATATACCATAGTAGTAGTACTTGAAATACCGGAAGAGTAAAATCCTAGGGGCCAATTAATTATTAAATAATCTTGGGAATATTAATGAGAAAGTGTTCTGCAAAATCAAGATGTCTTAAATAGATTCTTATAGTGAAGTCTGTAATGGAATCTCCCAAGGAAACCTTTCAAAGTCTACGATTAAATTAAGATTAAGTACTCGTGTTAAGCAAATATAGAGCAAAATTTCATCTCATCGAGATATTGATCGAGTGGTTCTTTTCCATCTCTAGCGTATGATTCTATCATCAAAACCACATAATAAAATAGGCATTGTTATTATTCTATTTCTTTGAAGGATCGATGATTAAATGCTTCTAAACCTGCCAAGATAAGTTTATACTATTACATTTTGATGTTTAATCCTTTATTTTCTTCATAAACACTGATTATAAAAGAATATTAACTTCCAAAAGAGAAACAAGTAGACCAAAATATAAGTGCATTAATCGAAACCATGGGAATAAGCCTTTGAGTGAAAATAGGCATTTTACTCATAACTTTAAAACCATTTTAGAGCACTTATAATATTCTGTCGTTCTGTCTTGTACCTTGAGAACGGGGTCTATGTTTGATTCTGTTTATTTCCAGAATCAAACACAGTGACTGACACATATTTGGTGTATATAAATGGTCGTTGAATTAATACACAAATAAATTAATAATTAATACCTAGGTTGATTGGACTTACCTCTTCTAGAAAATCCTTGAATCGTAAGAATATATATTGTCATTTTTATTTCCATATACATGAGGATGGAATTGTATGTATTTGCATGAGAGAATAAGGGAGAAAATATGGCACTCTTCTGTTTGTTTTTGTTTTGGTTTGCTTTTCTGCTAGAATACAAACCCTAAGGCAATGGAGAGTTTGTCTCTCTTTTCTACTAACATATCGCTAAATCCTATTTCAGTGCTTGCTCGGGACATATTAGTAATTAATAAATATTTGTCAAAAGAATAAAGTAATTAATTAACGAAAGGAGAACTGAGATCAGTGGTAGGAAAGCTGAGTTCACTACTGATGGTGAAAGAAAAATGATATGTTGACAATTGGGAAAGTGGTGGAATCTTCTATAGCTTATGCGGCTCATGTCATATAAGCTAATCGAGGGATTAAAGAAGAAGGCTTGATGAGTGGCACTGGAATTACAAAGGAGGTAGGAGGGCACGAATACATCCACATGGTTAACAGTGTTTTCTCTAAGAATGCACGTAAGGCTTTAAGTCTACTTATCCAAGAAGAAGAAATTCACAGTCTAGTCGAAGAGAATGAGCAAATCTAGGATGTCAGGAAAATGATACTGGAATTGTCCATTTCGGGGTCCACAGAGGACAGAAATAATGTGTTTCCAGGATTGAGCTTAAAGATTAAGCTAGTAGAGAGAATAAAGGGAGTGAATAAAGGTTCGAAAAGTATGAAAAGGATGCAAAGGTTAAAAGATGCACTGTTTGAGATTTTGGAGGTGGTGCTCTGCTGTCAGAGAATGGGAAGTTGATCACGAATAGAAGGAGAAAAGGGGAGGTCGCTGAGTTAAGAAGGTCTAGGAACTAAGTGAGGTTATCCAAAGTGTCATTGGTGTGGATACTGAAGTCACTGAGGAGAGCTGCCATTCAAATAAAGCTTTGTGAGATGCAATATAACCAACGACCTCGCAAAAATGACATCACATTTATGAAAAAAATCGCATTTGAAAAATATTCAGATAAGTTGCTTTCAGAAATCATACAGGTGATTAACTCAAAATAGCCGCACTTATATTCATAAATAACTTTTAAAAATATCATATAGGTCAAAAGGTCAGCGCTGTGTCTCCGGCATTTCTCATGGAACTCTGCCCTGGCTCGCGCTCCCCCATTCCTCTGCTCCTCCCCCCCGTAACGGCCCCCAGGCCCACTTCCGGTTCCCCGGAGCCCACCTTCCGCTGGCCACTGCCCTGGTCCACCCTGGGATAGCCCCGAGGTACCCGTCATAGTTGCTGCCGCCGCTCTCCGCGCCACAGCACGCGATCTCGCTCCGCTTTGGCCGTTTTTGTGCTCCCCGCACCTGCGCTGCCAGCCATGGCCACCGCCGTCTCTCAGGTGCGCCAGAACTACCACAGCACCTGTGAGGCCGCCGTCAACAGCCTGATCAACCTGGAGCTCTACGCCTCCCACGTGTACCTCTCCATGGCCTTCTACTTCGACCGCGACAACCTGGGCCTGGAGCACTTCTCCCGCTACTTCCTGCGCCTGTCGCATAAGGAGAGGGAGCGTGCCGAGATGCTGATGGGCCTGCAGAACCTGCGCGGCGGCCGCATGTGCCTTCACGACATCAGGAAGCCCGACCGCGACGACTGGGAGGGCGGGCTGCAGGCCATGGAGTGCGCCTTCAACCTGGAGAAGAGCGTCTACCAGAACCTCCTGGAGCTGCACCAGCTGGCCACCGAAAAGGGCGACTCCCAGCTCTGCGACTTCCTGGAGAGCCACTACCTGCACGAGCAAGTCAAGACCATCAAGGAGCTGGGTGGTTACCTCACCAACCTGCGCAAGATGGCGGCCCCAGACGCCGGCCTGACGGAGTACCTCTTCGACAAGCTCACCCTGGGCGACTGCGACAAGGAGGACTGAGCTGGGACTGTCCCCACAGCCACGGGTGCCTTCCCCAGGTCAGGCCACAAGGGCGGGCATTCATGTTGCCATTTCAGAAGTTCACTTAGGTTTTTTCCTCTCAGTTGTACCATTGTTTCCAATGAAGTTATCTGGTTCTTAAAGCAATAAAGGTGTCCGGTTGATTCGTGTGTGCAAAACTCTCACCTTCGAGGAATAAGTGCACATCCCCGCACAGATTTAAAATGGGTCCCCAGCGGGCTCTCCACCCACCTGTACATACCCCATCCACATGCAGCTCAGGATCTGCATGGATGGAGGGGAAAGGTACTCCATGGGCTCCTGGAAAACCATGTGGTCATGAAGGGTGGCAGGGTTGGTGGGCTGGAGCCCTGGTGTCTGTGGGTGCATGTGTGTGGTAAAGGAATGGTTCGGCATTAATCATAGTGGTTACCTGTGGGGAAGAAGTGAAGGGAAAGGGATTGGGCAGGGATTAAAATAAATAGGTCTTCAACTCCACTTGAAAACTTTCAGTTCTTTAATATACGCAAATGTTAATGTTTGCTGATTCTAGGTAGCAAGATGGGGGCCCTGGAAGAGGGCATGGCAGACTGTCTCTTTGACAAGCTCACCCTGGGTGACAGACCTTCCCCTGCCTTCTCCACAGACATCAGAGTGCATTCCTGTGGTCACCAATGGTGGGCATTTGCACCATTTCTTCCAACAAAGTAATAAACTGCAACTTTAAGCAGAACACCAGATAATGAAACCAATTTTACCATGGAATAAATGACATAAACAAGAGTTAAGTTCCTGTAGCATATTTCTGGCCACCAAAACATCACAAAACCTGTAAATAAAGATGAAAACACTTCTAGTATTAAACATGGAAATGAATGTGAGCTATACGAACATTTAAAAGATTAATAAAAACAAGCAAAAACATTAATAAAAACAAGTGGATAGTTATTTATCCACTTATTCCAGTTCCGGGTTGCCGGTGGCTGGAGCCTATTGTCAGCTCTGGGTCAAGGGCAGGAACCAACCCTGGACAGGATGCGATCCAATCCCAGGAGCACTCACATCCACACCCACACTCACTCACACTGGGGCAATCTAGACACACCAATTCACCTATCCAGCACATCTTTGCGATGCGGGAGAAAACTGGAGTACCCAGAAGAAACTCACACAAAGATGGAGAGAACATGCAAAGTTCACACAGCCAGTGGCCCTGGCTGAGAATCAATATTTTTCCATCAATGCTATATTGAAACTATCTTGAACAAAACAACTTTGAAGGAATCAATGTCATTCGGGGATGTACTGTCCCTGTCATTCTGCCATTCTGTGTCTCTATATGTGTATATATGTATATAGATGCATATATTTAAACTTTATTTATATATATTTCATATTTATTTAATATATGCATTCATTCTACCAGCAGCAGAGTTCATTTTGAATCTCCAGAAAAAATTCTGAGTTTTTGCTTGGGAAGACGTCCTTCGTTCAAAGAAGTTAAGTGATTGTGTTATTGGAAATGATATAGCTGCTTCCTACGTCTTTCCTGAGCCTGGTTTTATTTCTGCCCTTGGGTTTTATGCATCAAACTTTGATTTGGTTTTTGTTGTTTGCTGCCAAGAGAACTTAAGCTAATAGGCCTTATTATCACTGCACCTTTATCAGGCTATATTTACAGTGGGGTGAATAATTCCTCTAGGGTAGTAAATGACATTTTTCTCTTTATTCCTAGTACGGAGTCTGTTGAAAGGAAAAAGCATGAAAGGGTAGACAGGATAAAATAAAAAGAATTGCCTCCATGAAAATACAGACAGAAGCGAATTCTACTCCCACAGCTACTCTTTCTCACCTAGAAGTGGATTTCCTTCATAATTTACAGGTTTTTAATTCCTTAGAGCATCATTTATTAGACTGCATTCACTATCAGCCAGTCTCACAAAACAGTAATACTTGTTCAGCTAAAAAAATGGATTTGTGGATTTACATATATATACACATGTATGTATATGTTATATGTACATGTACACATAATATATATGTATTTATATACTTTTATTTATATGCAGAAAGTATTTGTACTAATTGAGTTAGCGGTCTTTTTGTTTTGTTTTCAGTTTTTATTTTTTAATCTAGGAATTTGCAGTCTTTTTTTTCATAATGATCACAGTTTCTATTTATTGAATGCTACTAAATAACATACAGAGCTAGAATTCAAAATTCAAACCAGCATTTGTCTGGTTTCAAAGCCCATGTACTTTTACAGTATCATTTTTCCTCTTGTGCATACATGGATCAGTCTTTCATACCTTCAAGAGGCACATATTTCCTATTCTATGCGCTCTGTTCCAGAGCATGGAAAACTGCCCATTCGCTTTTAATTCCCTGATACTATGTAGCATAGTTAGTAGAGACAGGCTCCACTCTGAAGCTATGTGATCTTAGCCAACTTAAGAATCTCTCTGGACCTTGGTTCCTTATCTGCAAAATATACATAATTCTGCATCTACTGTGTAAAATTGTTGTATGAATTACATGAGAATATTTATATAAGAATTTACTACAGAGGAACGTGGTATAAGCTTGTGAAATTATCCCAACTGCCATTATTATTATTTATAATAAAACCTAACAAAGGTAAAATAAAAAGAAAAGAACTAATATATTTTAAAATTCTAAATAATGTGCCAGCCAACTGAACCAAAAAATATTTGGAAAAGGTAATCCACCACAACCAAGTAGAAAGTATCAATTTGGTTATATCATATCAGTAGATCAAAAAGCATTAAATTTTGAAAGACATTGATAAAAAATATCACAATCATTTCTAAAAGGAGAAAAAGCTCTTTGTTACCTATGAGTAGAAGAATAGTTTCTTAAAACATTAAAGAGTAACTTACACTGACAGCCTATCCCATTATTTACCGGGAAAATACCTCTAGAGACATTTCTATTAACCTCAGGAACAAAACAAGAATTTCTGATACCCTCTTATTTAATATCTGTTTAATATTATAAGTTTTAGAAATTTAATATTATTTTATAAGTTTTGCTCACATAAGAAAACAGAAATAAGTTGTGTCATTACTGGAAAAGAGGGAAGAAATTATCATTATTTGCAGACAATATGACTAGATATATACTCAGAAAAACCCCAGATTGCTAGATCACATGGTAGTTCTACTTTTAGGTCTTTGAGCTATCTCCATATTACTTTCCACAGAGGTTGTACTAGTTTGTGGTCCCATGTTTTGGGACTTTTTGATATAAGCCATTCTTACTGGAGTTAAATGTTATCTCATTGTGGTTTTGATTTGCATTTCCTTGATGATTAGAGATGTTGAGCATTTTTTCATATGTTTGTTGGCCATTAGTCTATCTTCTTTTGAAAAGTTTCTGTTCATGTCCTTTGCCCACTTTTTGACAGGGTCGCTAGGGTATTTTTTAAAAAATAAATAAAATGCACAGATGCTGACAAATTTAATAAAGAATAATAGCATACATAAATAATATGAAGGTAAAAAATGGGAAAAGGACATAAGTAGAGATAAAGTTCAGATTACAAAGAGAAAAAATGAAGAATTTTATTATAATAAACTTGAAAATGTACACAAAATAATCAATTTCCTAGAAAATAACTTATAAAAATTAACTCAAAAATACTGTCATAACTAATAAGTTGAATCAGTGTTTTAAATTGTGAAATGACAGGAAACACAAGGCCTAAGTGGTTTTCAGACAAATTCTACAAAATTTCAAAGAAAAGATTAATCTTATAAACATATTTCCAGAGAATTGAAAAAATAGATCACTCCACAACTAATTCAATGACTACAATATAATCATAATAGCTAAACCTGACCATGGCAGAGTGAGAGAGAGAAATTGGAGGCCAAAGCACTTACTAACATAAATATAAGTATTCTAGGCAAAATATTAGCAAATTAAACCCCCAGTGTACAAAAAAATACATCATAACCAGTCAGGCTTTTTAGAACTTTTCATGATTGAGATGCATTTTCATAACAGTACTCTGGCTGCTATGCTGAGAAGAGATTGGCATGGGGAGAGGAATGGGGAGAGGAAATAGGGGCAGGGTTGCCAGATAAAATCTGCATTTGCTAAATCTGACAATTCTAATTAAGAGGCTATTGCAATAATTGAGATGAGGCATGTTGTTGACTTGTAACAGGATGGTGGAAGGGCAGATGGTGAGCTGTGGTCAGATCCTGGAAACATTTTGTTGTTAGATACCAGATGATTTCACTCATCTGTAGAATCTAAAAAATTGATCTCATAGAAGTAGAGAGTAGAATAGTGGTTACCAGAGGCTGAAGAGAATAAGGAGAGTGGAGAGTGGGGAGAAGAGGTTGGTCAATAGGTACAATGTTACAGTCAGATATGAGGCATAAGTTCTGGTTTTCTATCGCACAGTAGGGTGACTATAGCTAACAATAATATATGTATATTTCAAATAATTAGAAGAGAGGATTTTGAATGTTCTTATAAGAAATAAATGATAAATATTTGAGGTGATGGATATGCCAATTACCTTGATTTGATCATTACACAATGTATCAGAACATCCCACTATACCTCATAAACATTTGAAATTATTGTGTCAATAAAAAAGTCAACAGTGTTTTTTGTGATGGATTGGATGTAAATTATTGTCTATCCCATTGTCTATCACAAATTACCCCACAGTCTTCTAGGGCTTTATCCTCCTTTACTATAGTTCTGAAATAGCCTCCTAATTGCTCTGTTTCCTCTAAACCTGCTCCTCTGTAATTTCAAATTCCAGTCTGAGTAATATTTCTTGAAGTGCAAATCTGAGTATTCGCTACCTAAATCCCTTCAATAACTTACTTTTGTCCTATGGGTAAAGTCTAACTCCTAAAAATAGATGATATTCACTCTTTGGCCCCATGAACTAATTTTCCCATGCTCAAGGCAATCACTTCCACTGTGCAACCTCCATCTTCTGTCTAGCTACATCCTATTTGTTCTCTAGCTCTTAACCTAAATGTGACATCTCAAGAAGGCCATCACTAAGGCAGGTTTTGTTCCATTGCCATAAGTTCCCATAAAATTGTAGTTTCTACTATTGTAACATTCATCAAGCTACATAATAATCACTTATTTAACTGGATGTTTTCTCAATTGTTCTGTAACTTTAGGGAAGGGTGAGATGTAACTGTCTTGTTTACTACTGTAGACAAGACATTAAAGAATATCCAGCATGGAGCATATAGTCAATAAATATTTTAAATGAATGATTAAGAAATTAGCTGATTATATATTTGCATTTCATATTTGCACAATGATTATTGAAACCTTCAAAATAACAAATGGCTGTGCTTCATAACAGCACATTAATGGTGCCACTAATTATATTTGATAAAAATTTGCCCTTGGAGGGGAGGGGCGGGC